CCTACAGGAATGTAGGAAAAATTCCTACAGGAATGTTAAAAATGTCACTGAAACTAGACCCACCTATTCCTCATGGTAATATCAAGGAGGTTTGTACTGAATAGAAAAACAAATTCTAGCATGTCAAAAGTTGGAGGGCACCAAAAGGTCCCAAACACTTTACCACTCATAAGAGCTCAGCTTGAATAAGTAATTAGCTCAATGACATTTGGGGTTTGGTGTTTGTGTGTTTTGGGGGTTGGTGGTGCTTTTTTTTTTGAAGTCTAAAGACTAAGAATGTCATTCATCAAGAATGAGGAAATAAATTTTATACTTCTTCTGCTCTGGAAATGGGCTAGGTGATGTTTATTTTTAATGTGTGGCTTTGTTTTCTACCTAAAATTGTTCTGGTTTTGAAGTTCTTAAAAATCTTTTTTAGGCACAAGCTGTAGTACCCTCAGTTAACTTGCATTCACAAAATGCAAGGTTGTTGCAGTCTCCAGGGCTTTCCTCAGCTTCAGGAGCAGAAGCTTTTTCCTTCCCTCCATCCAGCTGCCAGGGAGAGACAGCATTTATGGAGGAAGAAAGAATTGAGACACCAAAGGTACAGCTTCAAATCACCCTTCTGTTTTGTCCAAAATCACTAAAGCTAAAAAAAGACTGTTGCCTTTTCAATTACTGCCTGGTAAAAGCACAGCTTTCACTAGTAGCTGCAGCTCTCCAATAATTAATTGAAGATCAGCTCCTTCTGACAGGGTATAGACCCTAGCACAAAGCACTGTGGGGTCAGGGCTGGAGCATTTGGTGGTGCAAACTCATGTCACTGCATTGACCTTGGTGCACCTGCTGTGTCCTGACTCCTGTAGGAAGCCAAGCTGGAGATCCCTGCTGCTTCTTTCTGCTTTCAGCAGCCTTTTATCTCCAGGACACAATGTTCTCAACCTGCTCCCAGGCATTTACCCTTTAAGTATATGCTGTCCCCAAAACTCTGGTCTCCAGCAAGTTCTTACTTCCCAGTAACCTCTCAGGATAGAAAGCAAGCCAAATACAAAGAGCTTTAGTATTAAACACTTGATTTGTGCATTTCTTTGCTAGCTGGACAAAACATTGTGCCAGTTTCCCTAAATTTAAGTAGTCCAGATTCCTTTTCTGCTTCTCTTGCATGTGCCTTTCAACACTAATCTGCCTCTCATGTTCTTTGCTTATATTCCACTTTTAACACACTATCAGCTGTAAAAGAAAAATCAGCCTACAAAAGTGTTGGGGTTTTTCTCTTCTTCTCCAATATATTTCTAAGAGCCCCAAAGACTCCTCAAATATATTTTGTAATACAAAGTGTTTATTGCTGAGTATCTTGAGTAACTACTCAGCTACTCATCTGAAAATTTAGGCAATTATAATGGAACCTTAACTATCAGCTTCCATTGCCAGCTGAAGTGATTAAAATGCCACACACTCAACATTCCATATCTGTTGATTTCATAATAGCCAAAAGAGTTACATTTTGGGGGTTTCTTTTGTTGCTGAATAGTAAGTAGCCAGCAGGATTTTCTGACTGTCAAAAACTATTAGAAGTGCAGCATCTCAAAGAGGTTGTAGCAGTCTCAGCAAGGCCATTTCTGTGCCTGTGAAATCTTCATGTGAAATTGCAGCCCCATCTTGCATGTTTTGTTTCTTGTAACTGCTCTGGAAGACTTTGTGTAGGTTTTCCACACCTCCACAGTTAACAGAACTCAAGTAATAGGGTGTGACAGCTCCACAGCCTGACAAACGTGTGGTTACACCTTTAGTCTCTGAAGGGAGCTACAGTCTGATCCATTTTGCCATGCAACTTTGAGCCCTGTAACAATACTCTGCAGGGCAGCAAAGAACAAGTGACATACATGGGAGGCAGAGCTTTTGTGAGGAAGGGGAAATAGCTTAAAAGAGTTACATTTGTCAAGGATATTATTATTTTCATGAAACTTCTGTTGTTCTCTCTCACATCACAACTTTAATTTTAGCATATGGTATTTTGCCTGCTGCCAGCTAGGGGTTTGATTTCATGCTTGCCATTTTGAAGCTTTTATTGCCTGCTTACTGGTTAGTTACCAACACTTAAGAGTGTGGCCCTGGTTCTCATCACAGCTTTAAGTGACTCTTTGTGTGGTCTCTTACAGCTGGAAAGCAAAAAGCAGTTCAAAGACATTTGGAAATTAACATTTCAGACTTTATTTTGCACCCTCCTTTGCTTTTTTTTTTTTTAATAGATGCAGTTTGGCCAGAGTAGATCAACAAATGGTGACTACAGTGAGGTGTCAAATCACAGTTGACTTGGGAATATTCAGTGTCTTAAGTGTTACAGAACATGTCTGCTAAAGACTTCCAAGCTTTGATCCATGTGTCATGGCAAACTGCAGAGAGCCAACTGCCCACGTGGTGCTGGTTCCCTTTTTCCTTTCCAGCAGTTCACTAAATAGTCTTTCTAGTGCTTCTGCTGCCAGGTCAGCAGAAGAATTTGAATGGGAAAGTCACAAATGGAAAGTAAGGTGTCCAAGAAATTAATGTTAAATATATAATCCATTAAATTAGAGGCAGCAGATCCAGAATTTTCTTGTGCAAGCATCATCATTTTGCTGATGCTCAAAATATTTATAGCTATTTCTTGATACTGCTTGATAGTTCCCTAGAGTCCTACCAGTTTAGACTGCTTGCAAGACCATTTGTTAACAGCTACTGTTAATGCAATTAAACTTCTTTTCCAGACACACTTGTTTTCAAAATACCAAAGAACTTCTTCAGGAATGGTTCATCAACAGTTCTGCATAAAATCACTTGTAGCAGCGCCAGGTTTTATGTTGAATAAATGAGTTTTCATCCATATTTTACCCAGTCTGATCCTACCAAAACAGCAGGAGTGACCTCTGTGCAACCAGACACTAATTGGATCATCTAAGAACAGAATACCCCCCAAAACTACATGACATGCAGGCCATGGTCCTCAAAACCAAAGTCACAGATGATTCTTAACAAGCCTTACCTCAGAAGATGATAGGGTGGTTCACACATTCCAAAATAGCCAGGCTGCATGATAGGCAGAGAGCTCTTTGCCCTCTGGGGCGATGCTCTGTGCACACAACTGAAAGCTGTCCATCTCCTTCTGCCATCTAGGTCAACGGCTGCCTGCTAGACCCTGTCCCTCCTGTGGTGATGAGGAAAGGATGCCAGTCACTACCCACCAGCATGATGGAAACTTCTATTGATGAAGGAATAGAGGCAGAGGGGGAGGCAGAGGATGACCCTGCCCAGGCCTTCGCAGCCCTCCAGGCAGCTCGCTGTGGGAAGCGGCGTCACACTCTGGCAGAAGTCACCAACCAGCTGGTGATGATGCCAGGCACAGGTACAGAAGTTCAGCACAGGCATCTCAAAGCTCATTTCCTCTCTCAGCACTCATAATAAGCCCAGATGAGAAAAGCTAAGGTGTAAGAGTGACAGGCACAAGACAGTTTCCTGGATTTGTCATTACGTACAACCCCAGTAGCAACCAGTGAAGTCTGGCAAGTTCTGGCTTGTTCTTTTTCACATCACTGAACATCCCCAAACCATTCATCCTCTAAAGATGGGTGGGCAGAGAATGACAGTAGGGAACGCAAAACCTCTGGGTTCTCAGGTATTCCAAAACTAGGAAGATGGCCAAGCCTTTCAGCTCAGGCTACAGGCTTGTCAGGATCATCAACGGGGGAAAAAAAAAACCCACAAAACAAAACCCAACACCACAAAACCCACTGAATGCTTTCCAAAGAAGCCAGGGATTGTCATCTGCACAGCATCTTCCCACTGCAATGAAGTAAAACCCAGCAGCAAATCCCCATCCTGGTACTGCAAGTGTTAAATTACTATTGCTTATAAAACTTGATTTTCTTTGTTTTGTTTCCTCTAAGGCGACTGCTGCTCTTGGCAGGAATAGCTCGAGCCTGGGGCACTTCCTTTGCTTCACTAAATTACTACTGCACTGTCTTTTATTCTGGCTTTTGGTTTTTGTCACAGGGAAAGTCTACTCATTGGATGAAAACTCATCTCTGGGCAGTATTGATTCCGAGTACGACATGGGATCCGTTCAGAGAGATATGAAATTCCTGGAAGACACCCCTTCCTTGAAAGAAATGGTGCTGACCAACCAACAGGCACCCAGGATGACACCCCCCTTCATAGGTCTGAGACCTGCCAACCCAGCCATGCAGGCACTCACCTCCCAAAAACGAGAGACCCACAACCGCTCGCCCGTCAGCTTCCGAGAGGGGCGCAGAGCTTCTGACACATCCCTCACACAAGGTAACCACAGCCCCTGGCATGGCACAGGATACCCAGACACAGTGCTCCACACAGAGAGGAACCAGCCTGCCTCGTGTCTTGGTCGTTCCTCAGCTTGTCTCCCATTTGCTGTGCTCACCAGAGGTGAATTAACCCATTTTCTGACAAGGGTTTTGCTCCACCCTTCTGCAGGAATTGTAGCATTCAGACAGCACCTTCAGAACCTGGCACGAACCAAAGGAATCCTGGAACTGAACAAAGTCCAGTTGCTGTATGAACAGATGGGATCAGAAGAAGAACCTCCTCTGACATCAACTGCTGCCCAGTTGCAGGACCTCATTAGTAGTCCTCCACAGGTACCTAAAGCAGAAATCAAGCTCCATCTAATGCTTTGGGACAGATAAGGAGAGGATAAAGTGTTCTAGAAAACTAAGGGAAGCTAATTTACAGATTAAGCTCCTTCTTCTCATTTCTGTCTTCCACAGAATAGAGAATGGGTGTTTGCAGCTAGCCTTTACCATCCTCCTGGTGTCAGTGGCCTTGTTAGCTTTCCAAATCTATCATTTCATTATTGCTTTTCATCTGAAGGAGGTTTTAACAAATCTCAGCAACACCTTCCCCTGTTGCAGTTGGTCGGGTGTAATTGTAAGAAGTGCAAAAGCTGAGTGAGCTGCAGGGAAATGCTAAAGACCTTCTCTGAGCTCTGTAGTTACTGGTTTCAAATGCAAACAGGTCACAGCAAACAGGAGCAATAAGTTTGTGCTAGGAATAAAGTGGATGAGTAGTACACAGGCACTGTAAGCACCTAATGTTCCAGATGAAGCCTGCTGTTCCTAAAGTTCCACTTTGACTTCCTGATTGCTGGAAAACTTCAGTTCTGACAACCACAAAGTTGTAATATTTTCACAAGAATCTCACTTCATGTAAACATGCTGCACTGCTCACTGTATTCTCACCACAGCAGCTCACTCCCCTCCCATGTCAGCACTCTCCAGCTTGCTAGAGATGCCTTCTCCATGCATACCCTGTCCATCACCCTTGAAAGCTTTTCACCTTCTGTTCTGCAGCTGTGAAATGAGAGCTGCACAAAAACACCTCCAGAGTTTAGACTGTTTTCTAACCCTGTCCATTTACTGTTTCA